AGCGGTGGGGGCCAGGGGCAGGGCCAGGCACGGAAGGTAGAGCACGGGGGTCGCAGGCCTGGGCAGCCACCAGCAGCCTCGATGGTGCCTCTGGTCCTAGGAAAAGCTTCGGATGCTGACCACCGTGGCAACGATGACCAGAATGGTGCCAAGGATGCTGAGGACCAGGGCCCAGACGTTCAGGCACTTGGCGGTGGAGGCGTAGGCCTGGGCCCCGGTCAGGTCGCCCATCATCTTCCTGTCCCTAGACTGGGGGAGGCGAGACGGTGAGGGGCCCAGGAGCCAGGATGCACGTACCCCCGGCTCCTCCCTGCCCCCAGTGGGCTGTCCCTGCCCTTTCCACGTCTAGGACCACCCTGCCTTCCTCACAGCCCCTCCACGACCCTCAGGGCTCATCCTCCCTGCTCTGGCGCCAGTGCAGACTGCCCACCCCACCCGGGGGACAGTCCCCGGGGAGTGCGCCTTGCACGTTCTGAGAGCCCGGGCTGCCCAATCTGGGTTTCCAGCTTGGGCGGTCGGGAGGATTCCTCCGGCTGGGGGTGGAGGGGTCAGACCCAGCCAGCCCCACGCAGACTCCTCCTAACCCCGCGCTGGGAAGACTCCCCAGGCCTCACACACACACACAGGTCACACATACGACACACAGGCCAGGGTACACTCAGGGAGAGATGCACACACAGGTCACACACACGACACACACAAGGACACACAGCCTCCCTCCCAGGTGGCCCCAGGCAGGTGGAGGGGCTGGCGCACATGCCCTGTTCTGGAGAGGCCCCCACGCGCCCACACGCACCTTCACGGAGTAGGCGAATGCTATGAAGCCCAGGCAGCAGCAGTTCAGGAAGAGCGTGTTGAACAGGGACCAGACGACGTGGTCGGGCACGGAGGTCTCGCTGTGGACGTGGATCACGGTGGACGTGGAGGGAGCGGGGCCGTGGGGCGTCCCCAGCACGGCCACCTCGCGCTCCTCCTTGAGCACTTCATAGTTTGGGGGGAGGCCGACTTGGGCGCGGGTGAAGAAGGGCTGGGAAGTGTGGTTCATGGTGCCGCCAGGAGACCAGCAGTGGGTCTGGAGGCTGCTCAGTGGGGCCCTCCCTTTCCTGTAGTTTCGATTTCTCAGAGCTTTCCTTTCCTGGCCTTTAGCAAATTGGAAATTGGCTACGGACTGAGGGGGGTGGGCAGGAACACATTCCTGAGGATCAGATTACTTTAGGGAAGGGGGGGAGGAAGGCCTGAGGGCTAAGGGGGGGGGCTTCCTGTCCTGGGACCCAAGGGGGGAGTGTCTCAGCTGAACTCCACTCCCCTCCCACCCGTGTTTTTTTTTTGTTTTGTTTTTTGGTTTTTTTTGAGATAGAGCCTCACTCCGTTGCTCTGAGTAGGTGCCTTGCCCTCCCATCAGCCTAGCTCACTGCAACCTCAAACTCCTGGGCTCAAGGGCTCCTCCTGCCTCGGCCTCCCAGAGTGCTGGGACTACAGGCGTGGGCCGTCGTGCCAGCCTCCACTCCCCGTTTGAGGCTGGAGCTGGAAGGTGCTGCTTCAGGCACCATCGCTACCTGGGCGCCCTGCAGCATTATCTAACTGAGTCGGGAAGTTTCAAAGTACTCTGATATAAACAGGTTGGACGCAGGGCAAGTTCCAGTTGGTTAGAGCCAAGATAGTGGAGAGAAAGAAGGTGTCCCTCTGGTTCCAGGAAAACACCGCCCCTACCATGAATATTCCTCCCCTTGCTTAACCTATGATTAAGCCCGCGAGTAACCGTAGGGGGCTGGCTCTGCTCTGCAGGGAGAACTTGCCTCTGCTCTGTCTGTGGAGTAGACTTCTACAGTTTCTGAATAAATCTCGCTTTCACTTCATGCTGTCGGCTCCCGAATTCTTCCTTGTGTGAAGCCAAAGACCCCCTCGGACCTTAAGAGGCTTCCAGCGTTGGGACTCACTTTGCTGTGTCAGTCTGCTTTGCATGGGCGTGTCCTTGAACTTAGTGCAATAAAAATTGTCACTCTGCTCTCAGAAGTCGCCTATTACTTGAGTTAGCAAAGTGACACGGGAAAGTGACTCCCAACGCCGGTGTCAGCCCCCGCAAGGGGGCTCTGTTGCTCGCCACACAGCGGTCGCTGAGAGGAGGACTGCGAGGAAGAAACGATTCATTGCAGAGGATGCGTCAGCCGGGAGGTGGGAGGAGGGGGCTGCCTCAAATCTGCCTCCCCCGGCGGGGCCGTGTTTATCCGGAGGTGGAGCGAATAACGCATGCGGGGAGTGAGCGTCGTCGTGTTGGGGCGGAGTGCAGGGCATGCGGTCACGCTAGCGCGTATGTCTCACGATCAACAAATGGGGGATGAGTCCCTCCAGGGCGGGGATTTTAGTATCATGATGAGCTGAGTGTTAATACCGGTCATTTTTTCAGCCGTGTGGGCAGGTGGGATGCGGGGAGTAGGCTGCTCAGTGGGTCCCTGGGCACGATCGCTGGCGTCAGTTGTCTTCTCCGGACAAACAGGTGGTGCGAGTGTGAGGCTTCGTCGTTCTCTCGTGGCTGCCAGGAGGCTCCACTGTTTCAGGGGAAGAAACCCAAGAAGGAGAGCATCGGTGCAACAGCAAGTGACCAAGCTCTGGTCAGCACGTCTTACTGGCCTGGGAACAGGAAACACAGGAGAACTACAAAGGAACAATACAAGTGTTCTTGCTATGGGGCCGGTCACATCTGCGCCATCTCCCACTGTGCGGGGGCCAAGCCTGAGCCCCAGGAGGCAGGACGCACAGTGGGGAACCCACGCGGGGATGGCAGGGGCCACCCTGCGCACCAAGATGGAGTGTGGGAGCCGCCGGCCTCGGGACCCTCTGCCCTCCAGGACCGACGCCGGGAGATGGGGAGACGCCACACGGACGATCACGGGGACAAAACGTGGCAGAGAGAGAGTGGCCCCGGGGGTCTTGCCAGTGGAGATTCCAGGATGTTCACAAAGACGGTGCCACAGGAAGGCTGTGGGCTGGGTCACATCCCTTGGTCCTGCCCCCCGGCAGGTGGCCATTCACATGGGTGATGAGGAAAGAGGAGTGAACCCTGACGTCTCAGGGGAGGGGGCTGCTGGGCCAGGCTGGGACCCTGACACGCAGTGGGGCACGTGGGCATGTGGCGGCCAAGGAGCCAGGGGGCCTGGTCCACGGCCCCTCCCTCAGGCGTTTCCGCTCCCCAAGTGTGGACTGTGCCGTGGAGAGAAGCCGTGGCGTGTGGGACCCCCATGGGGTCAGGCCCGCCGGGTGGGAGCCAAGCAGTGGGGTCGGCCAGGCGGAGGCTCTGGAATCGCCCCGACCCCCTGTCCAGCCAGTAGAGTCACCCAAAAACACCTGGAGAGGACAGCGGAAGTCGGTGCCACTGCAGAGCCCCGCGGGAGGGGGGTGCTGGTCCCTGAGCACCCTCCCCCACTTCTTCTGGCCAGTGGGACAGGGGGACCCTGCGGGTGACAGTGATTGGTGCAGACCCACCAAGTGGGAGCCCAGGTGCAGCTGGGGGCCAGGTGTGGGTCGAGGTGGCCTGGAGCGGGGGCGGGCAGCGCTGTCCATGCCTGCCCTCGCCTGCAGCTGCTGGGCATGGGATGTGCCGCTCTGCCCTCCGCCACTGGTCATTAGTGAGGTCATTCAAGGGCACATCCTGCTTCCAGTGTCTGGTCAACACAGGTGTGAAGACCTGGCCACCTTGCTCCGTTCTGAACGTGTCCAAAGGGCCATCCCAGCTGCAGCGCACCTGTGGGTCAGCTCAGGTCTTTGCGGGCTGTGCTGTGGCCCAACTTCTCCTTCTGCCTCCTGCCCTCCCTTCCCTACACACAAACTTCCTTTTTGGAGTCTGCTCTCTGGGGAATGCGGACAGGAGCAACTCTCAGGGCCTTGCGGGTTACCCAGTGCCTGGGCTTCCCTGGAGCGCGGTGAGGAGCCCTTTGCTGTGCTGTGGGCAGAGGAGGGACACGCGTCTCTGTTTCCGCAGGGTACCGTGCCTGCAGTGCTGAGCAGCAACGGGTCCCCCAGGGAGGCGAGGGGAGGGCAGCTTGCCCTGCCAGGTGGAGCCAACGGGGCTTGGCGTGGCCACAGAGGGATGGGGGCCAGGACTCTGGCTGTGGGCGGTGGGCCCTGCCTGCTTTGGGAAGGGGTGGGCGGGGGGTGGAGGGAGGACCCAGAGGTCTCCTGTCCAGAGGCAGGTGGAGAGGCCAGGGCACGGGCTCTGGGGTTTGTGTCTGGAGCGGGGAGGGAGATCCGGGCTGTTCGCACAAGATGCATCTCTGGCCCAATGCTGGGTCCTCCAGAGGGACCCCTGAGCCCTAAACAGGACCGCCCCGCCCACGGCTTTCAGGATTGGGGCGGGCAGAGGGGGCCAGGGCGGATCCCCCACAGGCCCCACAGCACACCATCGGGGGCTCGCTGCAGCCCTGAGTCGTGGTCCAGGGGGCTTCCCTCCCCATGCCCTGTCATGCTGTCTCCCGCTGTGCTGTCCCCTGCCTTTCCGCCACCTGCTGTGGTCTCTCTCCCGCTAGCTGCCAACAGGGAAATCTGTATCCCCAAGGCCCCGACGCTGGGGATCAGAAAGTGACGTGGACAGAGCCTGAATTCTGGGCTCTGGGGAGGGAGGGGCTACGCTCCCAGCAGCTCTGGTCCTGCGGTGGGGCCTGGCCCAGGCTGGGGGCTCCCTCCCCCGAAGCCTAGGCAGCCAAGGGCTCTGGCCTGGAGGAAGGGGCTGTTGCGGGTGGGACCCGCTGGGCCAGGCCAGCAGCCTTTGGTGGGGTGGGGGATGGGCTGTGTAGGTAGGGGTCTCTGCCACTGCCCCCCAGCAGCCTTCCACGGGGGGCTCCCTAGGGGAGGACGGCCTGGACAGAGGGGGCTCAGGAGGGCGTCTGTCACCACTGCGGTCCCACAGCAGCCTGGTGGGGGGGCGGGGGGCGGGGCCTCAGGCTCCAGGCTGTAATTTGTGATATATTTAGGGGCAGCGGGCGGGAGAGCTGCCCGGCTATAAGCAGCTGTGGGAGCCCACCCTGGAAGCGCGAGTGGAGCAGGAAGAGACGGCGCTGGAACCCATGGACACGTCGTTCCCCCGCGAGGAGCCCCGGCCTCCCACGCCCCGCAAGGCCGACGGCGCTGCCCCCACGGCCCTCGCGTTGGGGGCACCACGACCCCCGCCTCGCGACCACTTGGTCTGGTCCGTCTTCAGCACCCTGTACCTGAACCTGTGCTGCCTGGGCTTGCTGGCGCTGGCCTACTCTGTCAAGGTGGGTGGCTGGAAGTTTCCTCACCTGGGTGGGGGCCGAGACGCTCTTAAAGTGGGGCGAGTCCACCCAAAAGAGCACAGAGGCTGGGGGGGAACCCACAGAGTTCCCCTTCTTCAGATGGGGATTTCCGCAGGCGTCGAACTCCTGAGCGGAGCCCCATTTGGCTTTGGCCTGGGTGGGATGGGGTGGGAGGTGGCACACCCCGGAGGACCCCTCACCCACAGAGGGCCCTCGTAGGCCAACCCTGGCCTGGCTGCGGGCCCCAGGCGGTGTTGGGCCACCCACCTCCTTCCAGACTTTGGGTCCAGAGGGGGCCCTCCAGCTGCCTGGGGTGGGGGAGGCCGGGCCCCCAGGCCCCGAGGATGTGTAGAGATCTGGGCCTGTGGCTGCTCTGCAGGCCCGAGACCAGAAGGTGGCTGGGGACCTGGAGGCGGCCCGGCGTTTTGGCTCCAAAGCCAAGTGCTACAACATCCTGGCCGCTATGTGGACGCTGGTGCCCCCGCTGCTGCTCCTGGGGCTGGTGGTGACCGGCGCCCTGCACCTGGCCCGGCTGGCCAAGGACTCTGCAGCCTTCTTCAGCACCAAGTTTGACGACGGGGACTATGACTGACAGGCTGGGTCCTGACCCTGTCCTGACCTGGGCCCGACCCCAGACACTGACCCAGGGTGCTGGCCCTCTGGAGCCTGACCCCACCCTGACCCTGGGGTCCTCCAGCCCCAACATGGGCACCGGACCCATCAGACCCAGCGGCCTCACCCTACCCTGGAGGTTCCCAGCCCCTGACTCTGCCCCCAGCCCGAATCCCTCCTCACTCACCGGCTCAGACCCAGTTTCACAATTAAAGTGCCTGGTTCCAGAAAGTGCCTCCTGGGCCTCCCTCCTGGCTGGGGCGGGGGAGACAGCTACCCCAGGGACCACTGCAGCCAGTTCCCCTGGACCGAACCCCACCATGCTCAGCAGCCCTGTTCTGTCTGCTCGGCCGTGACCGCGTGTCCCCTCGGCCTGACCACTGGCAGCCTGTGGCTTCTGGGGCGGAGACGCCTGAGTATTTTAGAACGAAGTTTGGGAACCCGGGCCTTTGATCTCTGCTGCCCTGTGGTTTAGTGGCCTGTGTTCCAGGACATGTGTGGGTGTGTCCCAGTTCCACACGCGTGCCCGTGACATCCACGCGTGTGTGTCTGTGCACGCAGGCCTGTGCGGGCGTCACGCTCCTGTCTGGGGCTGGGCGTGGGCTGCCCTCCTTCCAGCTTGCTTTGCTCCTGGTGCCCTTAGTTCTGGCAGACCTCAGACCCCCGTGGTTCCCTTCCCTCCCGGGTCAGTGAGGGTGGCTGGGAAGCAGGGCAGGGACTGTCCCCTGGGTGGGGCTCACACATGTCGTCCGTGCACACACGGGACCTCAGCCTCCCTCCGTGCCTCCCTGCCTCCCGCACCCCACGACTGCACAGAGAAGCCACAGGGAGAAAACGGGGGGCTGCGTGATACTTTCTGAGCCCTCTGGTGTTTGGTGCTTGTCCCCACACATTTCACCTTGCTGTGCCCCCCACAGCACCCCGTGCACCCACCGGAGCCAGCAGAACCTGGCAAATGGGGGGCTCCACACACGCGTCCTGCGTGCTGGGCGAGGCCAACCAATGACAGGGTGGGCTAAGTGCAGGGTGCTTCACTGCAAGGCAGCTCCGGTTTTGAGTGCTCCGCCCAGGGTCCCTCCCCTCCCCGGGGAGCCCCCATCTGTGACACGCCTGCAGCCAGCAGCTGGCCCATCCATCTCCACGGAGCCCCACGCTGAGGACGGTGTCTGCAGGTGGAGCTGGGCACTGGAGCCAGGTCCCACAGTGGACCAAGGACAGCGGCAGAGTGCCAGCCTGTGCCTGTACCGGGATGAAGGCTGTGCCCACACTGGCTGAGGGCAGGGCTTGGCTGAGCCCCCTTGGGGAAGCAGCCTCCCCGTCCCAGGCCGAGTCTCCTGGGCAGGCTGATGGACCCCGGCCAGCCATGCTCGCACACAGGCACTGACCCACCGCTGCCTCCCCAAAGGGTCACTGCACTGTGTGCACAGACACACACACACACACACACACACACACGCAGCAAGTGTCAGGCTGCGCCTGTCCTGCTAGCGCAGGGCCTCCTACCTCCCCGTCCTAGTGCCTGTGCCCACGTCTCTCCGGCTCTGGGCTGCAAAGGCAAACACTTGCCCCTGCCTGGCACAGCCCCCACCTGGCCCCCTTGCTGCCCAGTGACAGCGCTTGATGGGGCACAGCTCTGTAGCTGAGGGACCTAGGCCAGGCCCACGGAGGCCAGGGCTCCGCTCCTCAAGGCCACGCGCCCTCAGCTCAGCCGGTCCCCACTGTGGCCGTGACCCTGCAGGCATGCACTGATCACTGCGCCCACGGGACGCGTGTCCACAGGTGTCTACCCAGCACGGTTCCCGCCAGGGCAGCCATGAGGACCCGCTCAGGCCAGCTCTGCTCTGGGGCACACACTGGCATCCCACACGCTGCTCCCGGCAGCAGTGAGCGCGGCAGAGACGAGGAGACAGGCCTGGGGCCGGCACTCTGATCCCAGAGCCACCCGCAGACGTCTCCGCGCACGTCCTTCCCTCCTCGTCGCAGACCTGCATCCAAACGAGGCTCTGGGCTGGCGGCTGCTTCCTGGAGATCGTGGACACAGTCCCCACCGAGAACAGGAATAGACAGGGCAATGCGGGAGCAGAGGTGGCAGGTGCAGGCACCGGGAGACCCTCCTCCCTGCTCAGCGTGAGCTTTGGGGTCGCTGCACTTCCCAGCCCCAGGGGAAAAGGGAAGCACAGTTCTCACTTCCGGAAGGAAGGAAGCACATTGGCTCCTTAGAGGAGCGAAGCTTTTCCCAGCACCAAACTTTAATTCCTCAGGCTGACCGGGCGCAGGGGCTCGGTTCCATCGGGACTTCGCAGTGGACGGCCTCTACTCTCCTTTTGGGAGACCGCTGATGCCTCCCCAGGGACTGAGGTCCAGGAGCAGAGGCTGTGCAGAGCCTCCGGCTGTGGGAGCCCACGCAGGACAAAAGGGCCAGGACCAGGCCCTCGAATCCATGCACGGTGGCTCTGGCTCCCCCAGCTGGTCAGTGGAGAGATTTGGGGTCTTGCTCTCACCAACACCTGTCCCGTTTCCTGGGGATGGGCCCCACCTCCCCACGTCCCTTCCCAAAGGCTGCCACCCCACCCTCTCCATGCCAGAGGCGGTGGAGTCCAGCATGCAGGAGATGAAATCCCTGGACCTCCCTGTGAGCTTGGGGACCAGCCCTGCCTGCTCCTCAATGGCATGACCTGGAAAGTTCCTTTTTGGCAAAGCTGCAACTGAGAGTCCTAAATAATATTGCAGGTGACCGAGGCCCCTTCCTGCAGGCCCTTCACCCTGTGTCCCCACGGAGGCCTGCGTCTGCCTCTCTGCCTTCTCGGCCGAGCCGCTGGCCGTTCCCCATGCAGCCCTGTGGTCTGTGGTGCCCAGGAGAGGAGAGTGTGGGGCGAGAGGTGAGGCACAGGCTCAGCAGGAGCTCAGGAAGGCGTCCTGGGGAGGCCATGAGAGGGGTGCTGAGAGGAGGTGGGGTCCTGTCAGTCCACAGGGGCAGACCCGTGCCCCCTGCCCAGGAGGTTGGGGGCACTCAGGCTGGAGGCAGATGGCCTTGAACTTCAGGCCAAGCAACGTGGCCTTTCCCGTGAGCCTGTCTGCAGGTGGAGGGTGGGTGGGGGCGGCAGGCCAGGAGGGTGTCGAGGAGCGGTGGGCGTGGAAGGGGTGGACTGAGGGAGGCCCCAGGAGACCACTCTGGAGTCAGCAGCCCTGGCTGCTCAGGGGCAGGGCTCTGGGTGAGGCACTCGGCAGGGCTGGAGGGACCGAGGGTGAACCGGAGGGTCCTGTGGGCTCTGCGGCAGGTGTCTCGTACTCCCAGAGCCGGGACTTGCGGGCAGCTGCAGGGCTGACCTCTGTATCCGGCCAGCAGAGCGGGCAAAGGAGATCTTGTTCCCTGCAGGGAGAGGGGCAGCCTGGGGGTGAGGGCGCACCGCAGGGCACCCCGTGGTCGCATGTCCCCGGGCTCTCGGGCGCTCTGGGGACGGTCTCCCACCTGGCCGCAGAGGGAGCCGAGCCCGTGACGGCCAAAGCTCGGCCTCCAGCGGGGCTCCCCGGGGCCCTGCCTGGGCCGTCATCTCGACCGTCACCGAGTCCTCGGAGAAGGAGAAGTTGAGCTTGTTCCCCTGGTAGGAGACGCCAGAGACCCACACTCTGGGGACCCCTGCCAGGCACATGGGGTCAAAGGTCACACCGGCCCTGGTGACCCTGCGGAGGAAAGCTGTGTGAGGGGCAGGTGGGGCAGGACCCGCCCCCTGCCAGCCACTGCGCTCACCTGAACCCCGTGCACCCGAACAGCACGGCCTGCAGGAAGCCCCCCATGCCCGTCAGGAAGTTCACGGCACCCGACCCGTCGGCATTCTCCGTCCACACCTGCGGGGGTGAGGGGGTGGGTGTCGGGCCCCAGGACGTGCCCTCCCCGTCAGGGCTGTACCTGCGGGGTCTCTCTGAGGCTGGCGCCACCCCCACCTTGAAGGGTTCAGCCGCGTTTGCGAAGCTCCTGTCCAGAAGGTCCCGGGCCCGCGCAGGCTCCTTCAGCTCCATCCAGCCCACCGCAAACATGCTCTGGGGGCAGAGGTCAGAGGACGGGTTGAGGTGAGGCCCACCGCGTGGGGTGGGGAGACGGAGGCCAGTGGGCGGGCCCCCCCGCAGCTGCTCACCCAGGTCATAGCGGGGCCCTGGGGGGACGTCACGGCCTCGTAGACCTCCAGGTTTCTCCTGCGCACGTTGGGACTCAGGGGGAAGGGGACCGGGTACCCCAGGAGCACGACGTCCGCCTGCTTCACCTGCTCTCCTGGGGGGAGGGGCTGCTGACGGGGGCGGGGCCTGCAGGTGGACGGAGGGTCTGGGGAGGAGGGAAGTCTGCGGGGAGCTCAGGGTCCACTCACCGGGCTCGTACCCATCAAACTCAGGGTGGAAGTTCCGCTCCAGGTCAAAGGGCACCTTGATCTTGTCAGCCACCTCCAGCCACCGGTTGGGGACGGGTAGCCCGAGGTCCCAGGCCAGGGCAGCAGCAAAGCGCAGGCTAGGGATGGAGGGAGGGGACGCTGCAGCGCCAGCCCTGGCAGAGGGCCCCTGCCCGGGCAAGGCAGAGCCTGGGGCGGGTCTCGTGTCTGACCTGTTCTGGGCCAGGACGTTGGTGTACACGGAGTTGTTGACTCCGGCATGGTACTCGTCGGGGGGCATGACCCCTGGGCACACAAGTCCGAGATGCTGCTCAGTGCAGAGTCTCAGGGACCTGCCCTGACGCCAGTGTCCGTGTGGGGCAGCACACCTGCTGTCCCGGAGCACCCCCCACCGGGCACGCACCCCGCAGGTGGTACTTCTCCTCCCCGGGGCTCCATTCCACGCGGCTGCACCAAAACTCCGCCACAGCACTGACCACGTCCCAGCCGCCAGCCTCTCGGAAGAGCTGCAGGTCCTGGACAGAGGTCAGGGCGCCAGTCACTCCACCCAGCGCCCACCTTCTGGGCTCCGAGCCGCCAGCTTCCCAGAGCTGGCCCAAACAGGAAGCCACGGAGGGGTGGGCATGGTGGGCCTCACCTGGGTGGCGTGGTAGTACAGCTCGAAGGCCAGCACCACCGCCCCGTTGACGTGGATCTCCTGGGTCCCGTAAATGTCCTCGGGGCAGACCTCCAGGCCGGAGCCTGCGCTCTCCCAGGCAAACTTGGCTCCCTGCGGCGGAGGGGCCGGAGCAGACTCGGCCCTGTGCTGGGGGGCGGGGGTAGCCTCCAACCTCCCTGTGCCCTCACCCTTCCCCCGGAGGGGCTGGAGGAGGTGGGGCACGGTGCCCTGTGGGTGCTGCTGCCGTGGGTGCCTGTCCCCACCTGGGGCCAGGGCAGTGAGGGGACCCAGGGGTCGGGGAGCCCTGCTGCTGTTCCCCCTCCTCTTTGAGGTGCGGCTGGGGGCTGCTGAGGCCCCACAAGCCTTGGGTGGAGCATCCAGGGCCTGCCAGCTCCCGCAGAGAGGGCCCCGGGGGCAGGTGCCCAGCGCCTCACCTGGTAGCCCAGGTTGCGGGCGTTCTGCAGGGCCCCGCCCAGCGTCCGGACTCGGTACTCCAGGATGGCCCTGGCTGCCTCTGGGTGCAGCATCAGGACCAGCGGGAACATCCAGAGCTCCTGAGGGCACAGCCCCTCATTCCCAAGCTGAGCGGGGCTGACCCCTCTGCCCGCCCCGGGCCACGTCCTGCCTGGCGGGGCCTCGGTCAGCTATGGCGCCCGTGGCCGAGAGCTCCGCCCTGCCGCGGCCAGGCCCTCTGCCTCCTTCCGGGTTCCTTCTCTGCTGCCCACTCAGATCCGTCCGGCTCCCCCTGCCTGCCCACCCCAGGGTCCCCCTCCGGCCAACAACCCTGGAGCTCTGGCACCTGCCACAGCTTCTGGATACACCCGAGGGCTCAGGCCGGAATCCGGCACAGACAGCCCAGGGTAGGAGCCAACCTCGAGGGAGTGACTCAGCCCTCTGAGCCTGCGCGGTGAGATGGCCGCAGCGCCCACCTCGGGGACGTCAGATGAGGGAGCAGCCCTGAGCAGTCACCCTCGATGCCACCACGTCCCTCCACCCCAGGCCCTCAGCTTTCCTGCCTCTCCTCAGTGTCCTCCCTCAGCTCCACTGGGCAGCCCCACGGGTCTTTCCAGAACGTGTCACTCTCCTGATTAAAGCCTCCATGGCTTCCTCGGCCCTCAGGTAAACTCCAAGTGCTACACTGTGCTCTCTACAAAGTCCTGGTGACCTACCTAGGCTTGTTACTCTTCCTGCCTGAGTGAGGGTTACCCCTGCCTGCCAGGTGCCTTGCACCCTGCAGCTCTGGGCCTTTGCACCTCTGGTCCCTCACCTGGTTACTCTTCTCTACGTACCATGTACACATCCTTCTGCTGAGACGCCACCTCCTCCAGGAAGCCTTCTACCACAGCCCCTGTGCTTCCCCAACCACAGCCCCGATCCCAGGGAGGGCAGAGGCAGTGTCCCTCCATGTCCACATGCCACCTGCCATGTGGCTAGTGCTGGGTGGACCATGCTCACCTGGTCCCAGAAGACGTGGCCCCAGTAGCATTCCCCACGACTCCCGTTGGAGAGGCCACCAGGGCTGAGGCCATGGCAGATGTACCCCGTGGCCTCGGGCTGAGGCAGGGCACTGAGCAGGTAGTAGAGGGAGCCACGCAGGGCCTGGCGCAGGGGCAGGGGCCCCGCCACGTCCAGGCCACAGCCTGCCCACAGCCGGGCCCAGGCCCGTGTGTGGGTGCTGTACAGAGCACCCCCGGCCTGCAGCTGCATGGCCTCAGTGAGGCAGGCCCGGGCCTCGGCCTGGCTGCTGCCCACCACCGTCAGGAAGTCCCAGGTCCCGTCCTCCTCGCCTTCCCCCAGGGTCAGAGCTGGGGGCGCCGGTGTCCACAGCATGTGCACCTCCTGCCGCGGCCCTCCGGGCTGCTCAGGGGTGAGCGTGTGGCCGTAGAGGTACCTGCAAGAGTGTGGCCGTGCCTCAGGGAGGGGCTCCCCACCTGGGCTCCCCAGCTGGGACCCCTAGCCCCTTCCTCACCGGGCTCCCTGGAAGTCAGGACCCAGATGCAGGTCCAGGTCCGGGCTTTCTGGGGAGAAGGCCGACCGCAGCAGCACCGTGACGGGCTCACGCCCCATGGTCCGGCGGGCAATGGACACGCTGAAGGCCAGCACGCGGGGCAGTGTGCGGTGGGCGTAGATGCACTGGGAGGCCCGGAAGCTGGGGCCTTCCAGGGTGTGCAGAAAGGAACCTGGGGAGGGTGGCAGGGAAGGCAGGACCAGCCATGGAAGGTTGCAAAGCCGCCGGCCTCCCAGAGCTACAAGGCTACGCTGCACGGTGGCCGCCCAGGCAGGGATCAAGTCCCGTCGACCTCCGGCCACCTCTCCCCGCCCGGAGGTGGATCCGCCCTCTGACCGTCAGTTCCTCTGTCTGGGAAGCTGCAGCTGCACCAGGGACCTCGGGGACCTGCTAGGCAGGAGGCCCACCCCGATGGAGGGAAGGGGGACCCTCGTGTGCACCGCGGCCTCGTGGGCCTCCTCTTCCTTGTAAGACTCCTGCGTAAGGTCAGGAGGTGCCGGGTGGGATTCGCTGGTGTGGTTCTCCCACTCGCCTGGCACAGCGGCCTGGGGGGCAGGTGGCACTACCTGTGCCGGTGTCCAGAGCAAAGGTCTCCGTCAGCTGCTCTCCCGTCCCTGCAGGAGCCTCCAGCCGGACGTTGAGGGGGCTGGGCAGAACTGCTCGGTGTGTGTCCTCCCCGACCCCATTGTACACGCCACTCACATGCAGCGCATCATGATACACACGTGTGCCCAGGTATGCGTTGGTCACGGTGGCCAACAGCCGGGGGTCGCTGGGCAGAGAGTGGGCAGTGAATATGGTGGGGTCCTCGCTGGCATCCTCCATGGTCAGCTGCAGGGGCCTGGAGAAGGGGGCCGGGGCCCTGTGATGGCCTGAGCCTCCCTCTTGGGACTTCCTCAGCACCCCCACAGCCTCCCACCAGATGGTGGCAGACCTGGGACTGGCGGGCAGCCCTGACACTCCACAGCCCCCACCCACGAGCCACCCTCAACTCTCAGAGGAGCTCAATCCTCCAGGAGTGATTTCCAGGGTCCCACCTGAGTCCCCAGACCTGTCCCCCAACTCCCACCTGAGAACCCCAATCCTAACCCTTGGCGGGACTCCCTGTCCTGCTCTCCAAGCTGCAGCCCCCTGCACCAGGTCCTGAGCCCCTTCCCGTGGCCCGGACTTGGGTCTGCTGGCGGATGTGCCCAGCGGCCAATGAGGAAGTCGTGCCCCCCAGCCCCTCCTCCGGGCCGGGCAAGGGCAGAAAGGGACCCGGCCGGGGGGCTGGGGAAGGCAGGCGGGTGGTCTCGGGGACTGCTTGGTCACTAGACACCCCGAGTGGGCAGCTGGGTACCTCCGCTCCACCCCAGGACCAGGTCGGCGCTGCTGCTCCAGGGCCCCGTCGCCGCGTCAACAGGAAGGCTCGTCGGTCCCGCCCCTGAGGGCCTGCTGGGGGCGGGGCAGCCCCTACCGGCCCAGGCGGAGGCTGTGTCGTCCGTGTGGGCCTGTTCTCTGTTGGGACCTGAGTGAGAAGTGCAACCTTTGACCCAGAGCTGTCTCCAAGGGGAACTTTGAGGGGGGCCAGCGGGGCTTCTGGCTGTTTCCCTCTCCAACTCCTACCTCCCCTCCCCCCCCGTGCCCCTCCTTCAGCAGCGGGGTCCTGGCCACTTCTCCTGGAGAGCACCCTCCTCTTTGCCTGGGGAACCCACCCTTCGGCTCTCCCAACCTTGTGCCCAGCTCAGACCTCCTCGCCCCACCTGCCAACCTGGACACCCCAGGGCTGGGCCCTGCTCTCCCTCCTGGCTACGGAGATGCTTGGACTCAGTGCACCCCGTGCCCCAGAGCCTGCTCCTCCCGTGGTTCCTCCATCACAGGTGACCGCATCTCCACCCGTCCTGCTGTTTGGGCCCAAAGCCTTGGCTCACCTCTGCCCCCTGCTCTGCTGCGCCACTGCGCCCTGCGCCTCGGCCTCTCCGCCCACGCCCAGCCGCAGACGAGTCCTGTGGGCCCACTGTCCACCTGCCCACATCATGCGCCAGGCACTGCGCAGAGCCTGCACTCGCCTCTACCCCACATCCTGCCCCCCGCCCCGCCTCGGTTCCAGATCTCATCTCCCCACCCTCCCCCACTCCACTGCAGCTACCCTGGCTTCCTTGCTGCTTCTAGAACTTTCTGAGCATGCTCCCCTTCCTGAACTGTGCTCTTGCCCCTTGTGTTTCATTGCCTCAAGACCCCTTGGGGCTCCTTCACTTCCCTTCTTTGCAAATGCCCCATCCCCGGGTCCACTCCCCTAGACCCCTCACATGCAGAAGGAGACCCTCCCTCTGCTTTACTGCCCTGCGTGGCACCTGTCAGCCCTTACCTACGTGTCCTTATTGCGTGGTGTCACGTGTTTATGTACGCAGACATTTTTATCGTGTTGTAGTAGGTACCGTGTGTATTTATGGTGTTACCTATTTATGTATGAGATACATATTTATGGTATAATGTATCACATGTCTGTTTATTCTCTTTCTGCCTAGAATGTTAGCTCTCAGAGGACAGGGGTTTTTATCTGTTTTGTGGAGTGAAGGAATCAATTCAGAAAGTGGATTAGAGGGGAATTTCCCTGGGAAGTTGAGGGGCTGACTCCAGGGTCCCCCCACCTGGGCTGGGGCCTGGGCAGCTGCCTGAGCCCCGCAGTGCTGAACAGGGGAGATGCCAAGGTCCGGGGCTGACACTCCTGGCCCCGTCCGTAGAGGCCACGCCACGCCTCAGAGCTGTCTGCAGTCAGGCCGCCCCCGGCTTGGTTTCTTCACTGGTGAGCTGGGGGAAGCTCAGCCCTGCCTTGTGCGGCTGGGTTGCTGGAAAGGCTGTGGGCACTGTTAGCACACCTGGCCATGAGTAACAGAAACCAATGGAAACGACTCCACAGATGGAGAATTATTGTCGGTGCATGGGGGGCTGCCCACCCACCATGCTGCTCTACCCTACTCTCCCCTAGTCTCTCTTCCCAGAGACCAAAGACCTCAGACAGAGAGTGGACACCCGGGTTCAGGCCACGTAGCCTTGGTGATGGTCTCACTCCTAATGCCAAGACCCAAATCCAGGGGAGGGACAGTGGCCTGCAGGCTCACACTGCAGATGAGGGCCCAGTCAGGAAGGGCGACTCTGCTGGCACACAATAGGTGCTCAGTTAGTTGGAGCTTGGACCACTGCTATTATTGTTGGGGGGCGTCTGAGAGGGGCATGGCTGGAGGGAGCAGTGGTGGGGCTGCGGGGGTCCCCTAGGGTGTGGAGGGAGGGGTAGCTCCCAGGTCTGTCCAGGACAAGGAGGAAGCTGTGTCTGTCCAGGGCCTCTTGCCTCCAAAAAGTTGCCCAGAGGCTGAGAGCAACGTCCTCTCGCCCTTGGAATGGGGAGGTCTCCTCTGCAGGGGCTCTGAGTACAGCGTTCTGCACCTTGCTCTGGCTTCCTGAGCCTCAGAGGTCACTGCTGAGTTCCGCGGCATCTCGGGGTGGCTGTCCTGAGCCTCAGAGGGCCCTGCTGAGTCCTGTGGGAGGCTCGGGGTGGCTGTCCAGCGCTGGATGTAGGATGACCAGATCCGGCTTTGCTGTCTTCACAGCCCGAAGCTCCTGCACGGACCCCTCACTCAGCTCCACGGAGGTCAGGCTATAGCCACATGCACAGGACAGGGGGTGGTCAGTGGGGGGAAGAGGCCGGGGCTGGGGGCAATGCTGCTGGGGAGTAGGAGGTGGGGGCAGTGCAGGGCTCTGCCCCAGGCTGTGTCGCAGGCACACAGGGACAGAAGGTGGTCAGTTAGGAGGTTTGTCAGAGGCTTGGAAAGAGAGGCAGGGGTGGGGGCCTTTTGAGCAGTAAAACGGTGTCCAGATCACTGGACCAGTCCATGGCGTGGGCACCAGACAACAGATGGATACTTGGTCAGGCAGAGTGGTCAAGGCCCAGGGCTGTGGCCAGGGCTTCAGATGGGCTGTCTCAGGGCTGGGCTCCCAGGTCTGTGTTTGAGGGCAGTCACGTGGGAGGTCCCTTGGAGGGGCTCCTCTTCAGGGTCCAGGGGAAGCCCCCAGGCATCCACCCCCCACCTCAGCTTGACAGGCTGTGTCCCCAGCACCTTCCCGCCCCTGCCTCCACCTGAGGGTCTGCAGGCTGCACGCTGGGTGCTGCAGGACTGCACACAGGTAGGTCAGCATGGAGCTGGGCAGCTGACAGCCACTGAGATCCAGCGTGGTCAGGGTGGGGCTCTGCCGGAGCATGGCAATGAGGTACTGGAGGGCTCCTTGGGGGCCAGGCAGCTGCAGCCTGTGGGGAGGGCTGACCTCAGGAGCTGCTGGGTGCAGGGGCCCATCCCTCAGTCCCTCCCAGGCCAGGCCTTACCTGAGTGTCTGCACCCGGCACTGGGGCCAGGCCAGGCCCTCGCTCAGCAAACGCAGGCCGACCTCACTGAGCCGGCTGTGGAGGAGGCTCAGCTCCGTCAGGGCAGGGGCTGCCCGCAGGGCCTCAGAGAGGTCCCGGCAGACCGTGTCCGGAAGTCTGCAGCGGGCTAGCCTGTGGTCAAGAAGTGCACATCTGCAAGCTCCTTAGCCACCTCCCCACCCCCATTCCCAGGTGGCCTGAGGTCCTCCCTGGACTCCACAGAGCCTTCCCTCCCTTTCACCACGTGTCCCTGGGGAGCTGTGTCCACTGTGTCCACACACTGCTCTGTGCCCCCTTCTGCCTTATGAGCTTTTTGATGGGCTGAGACAGACCTTATTTTCAACACGTTTGAGGGCCGCATAATTGTTAGTCGAGTTGACACGGGCCCTTGTTTATTCAGCCAGCCAGTCCCTAAGGGTCGGGTGGTGGTGTTGTCTCTACTTTTTTGCCATGATAAATAGTGGTGTGCTGAACATCTTTATGCATTTAATTTACCAGTAGAATCGCTGGCCAAATTGGTCACCTTTCTGGCTCCCATGTTTACCTCCATATCGCCATATCCTGCCCTCGCCCCCGCCCCCCCCCACTAGGCTAATTCGCCATGTCACCATCGACACATGGCAGCCTATTTCATCACGCCCATCACTGCTGGTTGCTACGATGTTTCTTACCTCTGCTCCCTTGGTGATAGCTAAGAGTAATTGGACAGTCATTTCATTCTGTGTACTGTACATGTGTAACCTTGTTAAATCTCACATCATCCTCCCAGGCAGCATCTACTGGCTCCATTCGCAAGTGTGGGCAGATTGACTAGCCCAAGGGCACACGAGCATGCTGGGATCTGCAGGCCACCTGACCCTGGGGCCTGAGCCTGGCCACTGCCCCCATCGCTTGCTTCTAAGAATCCAGAGGGATTGCCCAGCAGTTTCCAACAGCACTCAGCAGCATGGAAAATACATTCTTTTCTTCTTTATTCCTCCCCTAGAATGCTTAGCTGCACTCTGTTTTCCACACAGGCCAGGACCAAACCTTTTCGTACTAGCACCCAACCTGGTGACAAAGCCGCTGACCTCTCCCTTTGTTCCCCCGCCCTGTGTGGGTGGAGCCTGCCAACCCCAGCACCAGACCCCGAGGCCACAGGCTCTCAGCCTGTCCCTCAGCTACTCCCACCAGGCCACACTCTGTCTCTGCCCAGGGCATCCCACTCTCTGTTCCCTCCGTGGGAGGGGCTGGGGGTGGGCACTCACGTGAGGCTGCTCAGACGGCACTGTTGGTCAGTCATGGCCTCGAAGAGAGGACACAGTGGGGAGGGCGGGAATTGTTTCGTGGTGGCTCGAGAACTGCTGGGAGAGAGAGGAAGGTGAAGCCCACCCCAGCCCTCCCAGTCGCCCCCAGAAAGGGCTCCTTCCCATCCATGATCCTGGGGTCTCAGTGCTGCCCCTGCCCTTCACCTGCAAGCTCAACTGGGACCTACCTGCCCCCTTCACTCTCCCCCCACCAAACCCAGAGTGAAACCACTCATCTGTGGCCAGCGTGAGCATGTCACCCACATTTCCAAGGTGGGTCTTCAGGTCCCCAGGCCCAGCCCCTGCCAACGTCCTGACATCCATTCTCTCAATAGATGTCACGCACCTAGGCAGGTGCCGAGTTGGAGATAAATCCAAAGAAACTCTCATAAGCTTTGCCCTGGAGGAGCTGAGGGTCTGGCGGAGGAGACAGGCATGGGCAAATCCCATGGCAGGGTGGTCAACAGGGCACTTCTGGGGCCAGTGGGGTCCTAGGCCGGCTGTGGGAGCCAGGGCAGGCTTTGAAGACAGGCAGCAAAGTGAGGATGTTCTGGTGGAGGGAAGAGCAAGTGCAAAGGCCCAGGGCACAGAGGACATGGTGTATTCCAGAACTTATTAGGAGAAGGCGTAAAAGTGTGTGTAGGGGGTTGACCAGAGTGTGTGGCTGTGGTGGGAGGTTGCCTTGGTTGTGCACGACTGGGGGTGGGCACAGTGAGGACCCCTGGGAAGAAGATGGCCAGTGGGCAGCTGCCTTGCAAGGAGGTGAACAAAGCAGCCCTGAGTTCCTCTCTCCTGTCTGAGGGAGCAGCGTCAGGTCTGGACACACTCCTCATGCCCAGACGGACACTGAGGCACACGGGCACACACAGGCACACCTGCCTCCCACACAGGAGGACCTGCCAAAGGGCAGCTCTGCCCTGGAGACTCACCTGCTGCTGCCCAGGCGGCCCTGCAGCCGCTTCACCAGGCTCTTCTTCTTTTTCTTCTCCTGTGCAGCGGCCAGTCTGCAGCTGACCAGCCGAAGCGCCTGTCCAGCGGAGCAGCACCTCACACAGTAGCTGAGAACAGCGACGTCCATACGGCTGAAGCACACGCGCTCCAGCGCCAGCTCCCGGAAGCTGCCCAGGGCCTGGCGCACGAAGGCATCCTCCTGCGACTCGTACAGACAGTAGAGCAGCTCCAGCGGGTAGTTCAGCTCCTCTTCCTCCTCCTCCTCCTCCTCTGGCTCCTCCGTGTCCTCGAGCACTTCCGTCCCCTCTGGTGCCACCCTGGGGCAGCCCTGCCCCTGCACCCACCTCAGGGCGTGCTGCTTCACTCTCTCTGAGACCGCGCAGCCGAAGTGGCGCTCGACGTCGCGCATCCGCTCCTCGCTCAGGAGTCCGAAGAGGAAGCGCGTGGTGAGCGCAAGGTGGTGGCGCAGCTGGGCGTCCCCGCGCAGGAGCGTCCCAATGCCGCCAGCCTCTGCCCCGGGAGACCCCTCGTCCTCCAGCAGGTAGGACAGTGCAGCGAAGAACTCCTGGAAGCTCTGGTCGGTGAACTGGTAGGTGACCTCGGTCTCCAGCACGCCTGGCAGCTCTTTCTTGTTGAGAAACAGTGTCTGGACTTTGGAGCCACGAAGCTCCAGTCGCTCCAGGTCCTTCTCGGCGAACCGAGCCCTATGCCCCAGGACGCCCTCGCGGGCCAGGCGGCACAGCTTGCGCAGCTCTCCCTGCACCCGGGGCCTGTCGGCGGCGGGAGCGGAGCTCAGCACGCTGGCAATGAAAAGCAGGTACATGGACGTGGTGGTCTTGGAGGTGCGAGACAGGTCCCGGCCGAGCTCGAGCTGCTGGCGCAGGACGGTGCACACGATCCAGCACACGAAGGGCACGAAGCACAGCGCGAACAACGTCTCGTTCTCTTTCACGAAGCGGTAGGCGCGCTCGGCCCTCCACTCGTCCTGGAAGAACTTGTAGAAATACTTCTTCTTGTCCTTGTCGGAGAAGCCGCGAACCTCGGCGCACTGCGGGGAGCACAGGCGGCCCTGCAGCCTCCCCGGGGCGGAGGCGCGCGCGGTCACCAGCAGGCGGGCCGTGGGCAGCAGCGCCTTGTTCAGCAGCCCGCCCAGCACCCGCGCGCCGCTCGCGGCCTCGAAGGGGTCCGTGCAGGGCGCGACTTCGGGGGCGTCCAGCGCTGGCAGCTCGTCCGCGCCGTCCAGGATGAAGAGGAGCCGCTGCGGCTGCCGCAACATCTGCCGCACGGGCGCACCGCGGTCTGGGCACTGATCCAGGATCAGGTCGGCCAGGCTGCGCGCGCCAGGCCGCTCCAGCAGCTCGCCGCACGGCACGAAGAAGGCGAAGTCCACCTGGCCCTGGTAGAGCTTGCCCGCCGCCCAGTCGTACAGGATTTTCTTGGCCGCCATGGTCTTGCCGATGCCCGCCGGGCCCTGCAGCACCACGGTCAGCGGCCGCCGGCCCTCCTTGTCGCGGCGGTACAGCCGGTTGAAGGTGTGTGTGTCCGAGCGCCGCGCGCGCCGCGGCTCCGGCGCCTCCGCCAGCCCCAGCGCCTCCTCCTCCAGGGCGCCGCTCTCGGGCGCGATGAGCAGCTTGGTGAAGCGCTTGCTGATCTTCACCGAGTGCGCATTTCTCTCCTTCACTTTGGCGTGCTGCCGCAGCACGTGCTCCCGGTATTCCTTCCTGTACTCTGGCGGGAGGGGAGAGCGATGGGGCGGTGGCGTCAGTCGACCTCAGGGAGCCGATGCCCTCCCCGCCCAGCTCAGGCCTCAGTTTCCTCTACTGTGCCACAGCCTCCTCCCCCTCCAGCCTTCACACACCCGGTCCTCCCTGGACCGGTTTTCGGGAACCCCCAGGTGGTGTCGGGACGCTGGAGCGCCAGCCCGGGGCTCGGGGCTCAGGAGCACTGGGGCCTGCGCCTCCCCCCGGAGAGACCTACCAGACACCGAGAGCAGCGCCGAGGAGCTGCGGCCGAGCCCTGGAAGGAAAACCCGCAGTGAGGCCCCGCCGAGGGTGGGGTGCAATCGGAGGCGTGGGTCACGCTCCGCAGCTCCCGGGCTCCGAGCCCTGGGGCCCGCCAATTTGTGGATAAAGCGGGGGCCGCGCGGGGCATTTTCCGAGGGAGCGGGGAGGGGCGGACCCGAGGGGCCGGAGGGCGGGGACTCCGGGACCTCCCACCCCGAGCTCACGCTGCAACCGCTGCTCCTTGAGCCGCGCCGCCACGTCGCGCACGTCCGCGCGCTTCAGGGTCTTGCGGGCCACGTCCAGCGCCGGCTCCGGCCCGTAGAAATGGGTCAACTGCTCGGCCAGGTCCACGGCGTCCGCGTGCTCCAGCCGCCCCCACGGGATGCTGCGTCCGTCCGCCGGCGCGTCCCGCAGCTTGTGGCGGAAGCGCTTCAGCTGCTCCTGGCTGAGGTCCTCCAGTGCGGCCAGGAGCAGCTCGCGGGCCACAGCGGCGCTGGGCCCCGTGCTGCGGGCGGGAGTCGTCGGGGTCTGTCCCCTTGACCCAGCCCCGTCCCACCGCCCCTCCCCGACTCCGGTGTCCGCTCCCACCCCCTCCCAGCAGTGACGCAGACATAACCAGGCCCTCCCGGGGGGCCGGGGCCAACGAGTTGATGCGGTCCACGGTAAGGGGTGCAGAGGCAGGAGAGACTCCAGACTCCCTTCTCCCCTCCAAAGACCGGGGTCAAGGCCTCTTGGCCTTCCAAGATGAAGTGGGCACAGGCCGTTGCCAGCCCAAGCGCTGGGGGAGGCCTTCGTGCTCCATCCTTCCCTTCCGCTTTGTTCTTTCCACATACCTGGCCAGGCCAGGTCAAACACTCCAGGTGAGGTGTCTACAAGGGCCTATGCGCTCCCCTTTCCCTCCCCTCCCTGGGAGCCTGGAGCAGAGCTGGTCTCAGCAGGCTGGCCCAGGCTGAATTCCTGGAGCCCCCACCCCAGGCTACTGTTCAGTGGGCCCAGCCTGGGGACCTTGCTCCAGGGGCAGACCCCACAAATGTCATCTGCAGGGTCCTTTAGCATCCTGAGCCTGGGATGGGCGTGGGGGAAGGATGTGGACAGGGGTGTGAAGCCCCAGGGGTCAGCGGGTGGGGTGGAGGCCCCAGGGGCCTGAAACCAGCCGACCTCAGGCGACCATGCTGGGAGCCAGCACTCACCTGGGGCAGGAGGCCTCTGGCTCATCCATGGAGTCTCCTCCGTGGGTCTATCTCTCAGGGGCAGAGGCAGGCATCAGAGAGGTGGCCTCTCCCCAGGCTGACCTGGAGCCCAGTCTTAGGGGGTCGTTCAGCCCGGTCCATTCTCCAGGTCAGCGCACCCCAGCTCAGCCAGCACTATGTCCTTCTGACAGTCACCAAACTCCCAAACTCAGGCACTATGGCACATGCTCACTGCCGGCCTTTAAATGTTCTGCTTGGTGACCTTTGATTTCTTCCGACTCCTTTATTCCATTCGCATTTCCCAAGAACCCATGGGGCATGGCATCAAGAATGGCTGTGAGCAGGTCACAGCAGAACAAGGTGGGCTGCATGGAGGGGGTGGCTGGCTCAGAATGAGGCCTTCAGCTAAGGCCCCAAGAGAGGTTAGAGCCTGAAGCAGGGGTGAGGAAGCGCTTTCAGGTAGAGGGACACTGAACAACAGAGGGATGTGCGCAGCATTGCAGGGGGAGGCAGGCTAGCAGCAGGCGCGAGGAGGAGTTGCTGGGACAGGGACAAACTGCAGCTCCCCAAACCCGACCTGAGCAGGCTGTCAGGCAGAGGTTTGCACATGTAGAGTGCACGTGAGCCCCGGGAGTGCATGTACCACACGAGCGTGTGGTCCCAGCGGCAGTGAGTGGAAGATGCGTGTGTGTGGACGGGAGAAACGGGCGTGTGTGTGTCTGTGTGACCATGTCGACACTGGCTTGTGTGAACGTACTTGTGCTGGGCTAAATAGTGGTCCCCAAAGAGATCAGGTCCTCATCCCCAGACCTGCGAATGTTCTCTCACCTGCCAAAGACCGGGCATTACCATGGGTTATCCATGCAGGCCCAAAACGTCATCCTCAGAGTGAAGAGGAGGAGAGCGCCATTCAACACAGAGAGGGCAGCCCTGGGGCTGCTGGCCTGGAGGGTGGAAGAGGGGCTGGGGGCCAGGGAGCCGGGGAAATGCAGCTCCGGAAGCTGGGAGCATGGCGGGAAAAGGCCGCCAGAGGCTCCCCTCCCCCTGGAGCCTCCAGGAGTGCGGCTGGGCCAACCGCTGGATCTCAGCCCAGTGAAACCGACTCTGGACTCCTGACCTCCAGCATGGTAAGAGAATAAAGGTGTGCTGTTTTACACCACCGTGAGTGTAGTAATTGGCTGTAGAAGCCACAGGAAGGGAACGGAGCATCTCTCTGGGGGAACCTGTGTGAACAGAGCTGTGTGCAAGGGCTGTGCCGCCTTGGGCCGTGGGTCATCCTGTGTCTGTCCTGCCTCCATCAGAGCTGCCCTGGGGAGACGACGCCAGAGTCCTGGGAACCTCTAGTCCACTGCCCCATCCGCCAGGAGGAAGGGCCCTGTGATTACTTTTTTCTGTTTCAGACAAAATAGACCCTCCTCTCCCTGAGGTTCAGGTTATCAAAGGTGCGGTGCTTGTCCAGTCTCACTCACACTTGCGCCTCGGACCCCGATATCTGCGCCCATCAGGCTCCTGTTGGCCAGTTCCTCTGGGGACTGCCTGGCCCCTGCGAGAGTCCCCTTGGGAGTGGGGGCTTACGGACGCTCACAGACCCAGGAGGACTCTGCTGGGCTGAGTCTGGGCTCCACCTGCCTGGCCACGTGGCCTTAGCAAAGCAAACTCCCTGAGCTTCAGGTCCCTTTGCCCTAAAGCACGGAGAAAAGTCCTGTCTTCCAGGATGTTGTGGTGACTCAGTCGACGGGAGTGAGCCCCCCTCTCTTGCTTTCTGCACGGGGCGCTGGCAATGATAGCTGTGCAGTCTCACCACTGGGTTCCAGGGTTCCAGCAAGAAACACAGGGTACCCCCACATTTGGCCAGGCAGCACTGGGCTTCCTCAGAAAGCTGTGAGCGGAATGGAAGAAGGGAAACCCCAGGCCAGGGGAGGGGGGCCATGGTGATGGGAGCCTGGGGACAGAGCCACATGAAGAGGAGCCCTCCTGCTCTCTCCTGCTCCCTGCCCCCCACCCCTGTCTCACCTGACCGCTGGGCACAGTGGGCAAGGGGACAGCCGTTCAGCACATATCCTGGGACATCTGTGCTTTAAAAGGACTTCCGTGAACATGAAAAGTCTCCTTGTTATCACAGAACCCTAGAGGTCTGAGCCCAGGGAGAAGCAGCCCCACCCTGGCAGGCCCAGAGCAGGGACGAGGGCTCACCCCAGGCCACGGTGTAGGCAGCACCCAGTAAAGCAGAGGAGGAGACATGGTCTCCCTGGGGTCAGGGTCCTGGGGAAAGCCCTGGGCAGCCTGTCACCTGAGACGAGAGGCTGGCTCGACGCCACGTCCTGGTCTGGCTGCCGGAGGGAGCGACTGCCATGAGCACCTGGCTCAGAGGGTGTCCGCCCAGGGCCTCAACTCTGCCAACAGCTGAGTTCTGTAGAGCGAAGCTGCAAGACAAAGCAACACCCCAGAGAACAAACGGAGACACGTCGGAGTTCTGCTGTGGCCCCGAGAATCTTGGTGTGGCGTGGCACTGCTGGCCCCCGGGCCACGGCCCCCCTGCTGACGGCCCCAGGCGCCCCACTGACCCTTGCCAAGGCCCACGCTAACCCTGATGTGCTCCCGCCCAGGCCATGGCTCTCAAATGAATGTTCTCTTTTCTCTCTCCTGGGTATAAATTCTTGAAAACAATTTCTCCGCAACTGCTCTGCCTCCTTTTCACTGTTGTTTAAGTCAGAAAGCGAACAGGTCACAAGCACAGTCTCCCAAGCCAGACTGCCTGGGAGCAAGTCCTGGATCCACCACCCAATAGCTGTGTGTCCTCGGACAAGTCTGTCCACTTCTCTGGGCCTCCATTTCCTCATTTGTGAAATGGGGCAGTGATGACACTATGTCGTAGGGCTGAGGGGGTAAAGCTTCGATGCCTGTGCCGGGTGCCCTGGACACCCGCGCTGTGGACAGCCTCTGCCCCTGCAGCACTGTTCTGCAGCTGTGTTTTCTGGGCCGCCAGGAACAACCTAACCCTAAACCCACTTCAGTTCTGCTCACCAGCACCCAGCACTGCAGGCTTACCACTGCCTTTCCCTGGAAATTTCCCGTTGTCAGAGGCAACCGAGGGCCGCAGGGCAGCATTGTGTCAGCTCCTGGGTGACCTGGCATCTAGGGTGGGGAAAGGTCACGAGGCCTGTGGCATGGGACACCAAGGTCATGGTTAGCCTCTGCATCTGTATTAGAGGGACCCCGCCTCGAGTGGACTCTGTGCCCATGAGCTCTCAGCACCTGTCGATAACAGCACCAGAAAGGGGTTTGATAACAGAGCCAGCATTTCCAGGAGTCCTTGGCCACAGTGGAAGCCTGGGGAAGGAAGTTGGGAGCGGGGGCAGAAGCCCAGCCACAGCTCGGGTGAGGAGGCCAGAGGAGCAGGAGAGGGGGGAAGGGAACGGGAGGCGGGGAGCCCGCAATGCAGTCCACCCTGGATTTGTGTCACCCACAAGGGTTAGCTTCTGAGAAGAGCCACCACTTCCCAAGGTATAACTTCGAAATCTCTAAAAATTAGTTTTGACTTCATTGTGAATTTTCTCAAAGGTCCCTCCAAAGGGATTTTACTACCCAGCAAAACTTCATGGAAATCTTTGGTCCTTTCCTCCTGCCTCCCGAGTCCCCCTCTTGGCAGCCACTGACGAGGTGTCCTGGAGTCCTCCCAACTGCTCCCCCTGGG